GTGTGTGTGTGTGTGTGTGTGTGTGTGAATGGTCCTTTTTTTTTTTTTCGAGGCGGTGGGGAAATCTCCCTATCACCGTTCAGACGGCCCATGCAGGCTATCTGCAGGGTCGTCTCAGCCACGCCCCCACCAAAATGAAAGCAGGTAGTGAATATGAAGAATTGCACGACCTGGCTGAATATATACTCAATTTTCGAGTTCAGGTCTGTGTTTCAGCAGTTATGGGTTCCACACGTAGCTGGGCCTTGGTCTCCGCACATGATTCTCAGGGCTTGGCTTCACGACTCACTAAATGTGCAAAACTAGAATGAATCTTATGCAGAACATGGAATAATACGCCGGCATATGTTTTGTCTTTTGTGCCTGTGGTGAGTACAGGCCCTTAGGCGTATTCCTAAGAAAAGAAAAACGAGAATAAAGAAAAAAGGGAATTTTTTTTTCTCGTTGTTCTTTTCTTAGGAATACGTGCAGTGGCCCTAAGGGCTTGTACTCACCACAGGCACAAAAGAAAAAACATATGGCGGCGTATTATTCCATGTTCTGCACAAGATTCATTCTAGTTTTGCACATTTGGTGAGTACTGCAGCCAAACCCTGAGAATCACGTGCAAAGATCAAGGCCCAGCTACATGTGGAACCCATAACTTCTGAAACACATACCTGAATTCAAAAATTGAGTATATATTCGACCAGCTCGTGCTTCACTTCATATTCACTGCCTGCTTTCATATCGGTGGGGGGGTCCGCGCCACATGGCTGTGAGGACCCTTCAGATAGGCCGCATGGGCCGTGAGAAAAAAAAAAAAGGAATGCAGATATCTACGTGTGTAAACATCTGTGTGTGTTGCTGGGCATGTGTATATGTTTGGAAGGGGTATTTCGTGTTTTTTTTCTTTACTTCATTTTTTGCATGCCCGTGGTCCTCGGCACGCGCGCCCACCCCTAGGGTCGCGTTCATTTTTTTTGCGTTCCTTCGCGCGCAGCGCGTTTGAACGCGGCCCCAGGGGATATGAACGCGCGCTCGGCGCGGTCAACCGGTTACATAGACGAAATTTGAGTGAAACCAGTCATTTAAAGATTGCGAGAGGAGGGGTGAGGGAAGCGCGCGAGTTCATTCCACCTACGTAACCTCGCGTTCATTGAATGCGGTTTTTCGGCTCAATTTTTGAACGGAATGAACGCGCGTTCAATGAACGCGACCGAACACGTCGTTCAATTCCGCGGTTCGTTTAAAAAAAAAAACGCGGCCAACAACGTTCAGATGCGCACCGTTGGAGAAAGAGAGAGAGATACAAAGATATGAAACCGTATGAGCGCGCACTTTATCCCCCCCCCCTCCGCGCTCAAAGCGCT